GAACCACTTGCCTCTCCCCACCTGAAGTTCAGCGAGAAACACGGGCACAATTGGTTGAACCCTGCGCTCGTTCGACAGTCCCACTTCAACGTCCTCACCGTTCTTGTGACAAATTGTTCGGAACCGAGAGATTCTTAGATCGGAGAGCAGCTTCGGCGCTGTTGGCCCGCAGCACTCCTCTCTCTACAAACTTATCTCCTTCCTTCCATCTGTGGCTTCCGTACAACGAGCCACACAAAGCTCTTTCAGCGTTCCCTTTTGGTTTACAGATCGCTGGCTCTTGGCTTGCCCTTAAAGCACACCCAGGTCTATGCCCCGGCTATACAATCCGGATAAAAGCAACAGTGGCCGAGTCGTCCTCACGGCACCGATTCTGTTGAACAAATCGAACCACCAGTACAATTTCCATTGGGTATGGGCTGCTGGCATCTAGCCTGACAGAAGTGGCGGGAATTAAGTGAGAAACCTCAAACTTTACCCCACTGGCTTCCTATTGGACTTCCATGGGAACAGAGCCTTTGGCCCTGCTTTGCCATTAACCATGACAAGCAGCCGTGGTGGCAACGGCATCCGTGTCAGCACTTACCAGGCTGTTCGGTCACGTCCACTTTGGCTATGTTGATTTCTAGGTCCTCCCCCCATTCCGCGAAGTTCTCCCATTCCGGCTGTAAGTTCTGACAGGCAGGGCACCAGGGAGCGTAGCTGGGAAATAAAAAGAAGCCGCTGCTCACTCTGGCAGGGTCGCCTCCCTTTTCAGGGACCTGACATGCACCCTGTACAAGAACCCTGTTCAGTTCCCAAATTAGCCAAGGGTGGGAAAAATGACTGGCGGGCAGGTGGGGGGGAGGGGGAGGAAATCACCCTGAAAGATCAGCACCATCTTGCTCCACACTGTTTCCCCAAGTTTGTGGTTAAGAGAAAATAGTGGAACTTCCTTTTTCTGCAGAGACGGCTCGGTTCGTCTGTTTCGACATCTTGAAACCAGCCCCCTCCCCCCCAAAAGGAGGTGGAGGGGAAAAAAGATTAAAAGAATAATAACAATAACAGGACAAAAAGCTTGGTTTCCATCCAGCCTTTGGAGGATACCTTTCCTCAGCCAGGGGTTCTGCTCTAGTGGCCTTCCTCCCTCCTCCTCCTCCTCCTGCCCTCTCTGACGGGGAAGAAGGGCAGGGGAAAGGGCACAGCCACCTTCTTGGGGACGCATTTCTCTCTCCCAGCCTGGCCTACCTGGCAGGGCTGTTGTGGAGAGAGGAAAGAGGGAAGGAGGAAGGGAGGGAGGAACGACCTCTTCCAAGATCTTCCACTTCCACGGGAAGAGGAGGAGACCTGACAGGCACCACCGACCGACCCACCGGCCAAGGAGAGAGCTGGGCCTGCAAACAGGGGTGGAGTGATGATGGGGGTTTGGTGTGTGGTGGCGGCGGGAGAGGCGGCGGTGGGGAAAAGAGGGGGAGGAGAGGAGGGGCTGCCCGGTTTCGGATTCAAATCCGGCGCCGGCGTCAAGGGGGCGCCCCCTGGCCTCCGAAGCAGCCTCTCCACGGCGGTGTGTGTGTGTGTGTGTGCAGGGAGGGGATGCCCCCTGAGCATGTAGAGAGCGCCTCCTCTCCCTTTCTTCTTCTTCTTTTCTTCTTCATGACTACAACTCCCAGAAT